AACACACCAAAATTTTGATACTATGTCATGAAGTAGAAACAGTTTACAGTATCTGAGGAGCTTTCCTGCTGACCACCGACAACACAGTATAGACATGAGGAGCCCACCCAACAACTTAAATTTTAAACTGGAATGCAGAATTGTCTCATGTTTTAAGAACTGTTTTCACAAATTTCCATCTTTTATTTCATAAAAAGAGCCCAGTCATACCAACTTTATATAACGTCTTTTGCTCCCCAAAAGTGACAACCCCTCAAAAGTAATGAGCCCTGAAAGTAATGAGCCCCAAAGGCTGTAATAATTCTGTAAGTAACTAGGGTTGTTACTCTTAGAAGCGTATGGTTTGGCGGTATATGTGAGTGTATCAAGTGAACTAGTGGATTATAATTATACTAAAAGAAACCTGAAAGAATTGATAAAGTTGGTCAGTCTTTGCTGACCTGACCAACCCACAGGGAACTATGATATCAAGGCTGCATCCCCTTGCTGATGATTCCATTTTGAATAGTGATAAGTATGTTACTATCACTCCTAGGAATTAAAAGGGACATACATGAGTAGAGTTTACACTTCACTATAATACATCTGCAGTGGAACCCTGCTTTACAGACACCTGCTTAACAGGGAAACCTGCTTTGAGTGATTTTCAATTGAGTGTTGAAAGTAATCAGGCAATTACGTTGGTTTTGGTTTTGGTTTTCTGAGTAGTCTGTAACTTGTAGGTAATTTCATGTAATTTGCTTGGTTTTGGTTGATGCACCTGTCATATTTTATGAGATTTAGAATTGTACTATGCCCGAAATAGTTTTAGCTTTACAGTAACTGATGCTAACGATAAACATAGTCAAGGTAAATTTTGACTACATTTGAAAGCAACCATCTACCAGAACATGATTAACGAGGATCATTAACATACACGTGACATACTGGTAGCAATCACTTTAACTTAGTCTCCTTATTTTGCCTTTGTTTAATCCATGTTTAGTGATTCTAGCAGTGATGTGGTATCGTCATCAACTCCTGCTGAAATGAAGCCCAGGCTTGAATCAGTTGATGACATTGAGGTACAAAATTATACCCTAAATATTTATCTAAAAATTAAAAGGGAACTGTAATCACACAACTCATGAGTTTATACTATCCCAAAAGTGTAGTGTAGCTTTCACAATTACTGTAGATTCACTTATATTTTTATTGGGTGGATATTAAATTTGTGGTTTTGAGGTGGCAGCTTTTTTTTATTTATCACTGAACCAAATGTAGTTCCCAGTAACTGTTTTCCATGTAACCTTGCCAGTTCCTCTAATATTACTTGTGTTCTTTTTCACTTGCAGAGTCTTTTATCAATGCCAACTATGAAGGAGATGGAAGTAAGGAAATGTTTTGTGTCTCTTTGAAAACAAGGTCTCTTCCAGTTTCTTGGAAAAATATGAAAATACGTTTGTGAAAAACTCATTTTCTTATTGAAAGCCTGGCCTAAGAGGCAAAAAATTGGATATTCATGAATTGTTGTTTAACATTATTGGATTTGGTAAATTGTATTCTAGATGTCAAACATATGAAAGGTCCCTGTTATGTCATTTTTACTGCATGTTTCTGTACCAGTAATTTCTTTACTTTCAAAGAGTTTCAAGATCTTATGCCTCACTTCAGCTGTATTTAAGATCCTCAAATTATATTTCCACTGTGATAATCATACTCTTGAACAGTTTCAATTTATTTTCTAAGGATGATAGCTCACTTGTCTGTTCAGATGAAGAAGTTACAAAACTATGATATTTTAGGAAAGGATCTCCGTACCTAAAGTTCTCTTGATATTTTTCTTTGGTAATGAGTTTTCCACTTTTCTTTCTTGTTTAGAACAAAAAAGTTGGAGAAGAAATTTTGGATTTACTCAATGTACCATCACATAAGGTGAGGAAAGACACAATTTTTAAATTTGGTTTGGAAACATAGCCAGTATGGTTATATGCGTCTATACAGAAGTTATGACTGTACTTTTTAGCTATCTTAGTATGAAATAAGGCCATGCATGGTATATTTTGCCTTTCATGGCTGTGTTTATGACTTTTATAATTTTTTTCAGGAACAATCTACAGTTGAAAAATTCAAGTCTCAAGGTGGAGCATTTGTTCATGAGTTCTGTGATCATGGCACAAGAGGAGATTGTAGAAAGAACAATCCACAGAGTCAACCTTGTAGGAAGGTAATGAATACAATGTTTTTGTTTGTCGCAGTATGTATTGTTCTGTTCTAACAATATTCTTTTCTTTGCCACTAAGGTCCACTTCAGAAAAATTATCCAAAAGCATACAGATGGTAAGTTTATGTTTTGTGAAGAATATCTAGCTTTTTGGTCAGATTATTTTAATTTCATTGTTTACTAAAAAAAATTCTTTTGAACTAGAATGCGTTTTTTGATGCAATAATGATTGTGCAAGCAATAAGGGGAAATTTTACATTTCGATCATTAAAACATATGAGTGATTTTCCTCTCTTTTCTTTGAAGTATTCTAAAAGAAACAGAAACATTTTCTCTGCGTTTCTATAAACTTTTAGT